CATCCCACTTGTTAAAACCCTACCCATATCGTCAGTGCCACAATTTTTCCTAAGCTTATTATTACTGTACAAATGTATAAATGTATTTTGTAGTAAACTTCACGCAATTATGTTCAGAGTTTTATAGTTCCAATATTCATAATACTCAATTGAACTACCACGTCTCCCCAACTTGAAATATAATAGACAACACCCCAATGATTTAATTCGAAATCGATAATGAAGATATCCCTACTACACAGGAAATTGACTGGATGCGCTCCGACATGCTGTCCCATCCCCACACAATGTTGCATGTCGACAACTAGTCGGCCATCAAGATACCTCCTGAGAACGACGTAGCGAAAAGTCTCAAGCACATTGAGGATCATGAGCACTATAATCGTGATTGTGCACATAAGGGCATAATTACTATCATCTATGTTACCACGGTTGATTTAATATGTCACCGATTCCCGAGAGCAGATTAAGAATCTCGACCAACTCCCGAGAGTGGACTGAGTCTGCCAACCACCGCAATATTCTAAAATAGCTGCGGTTTTATGTGAGTCATAAAGCTATGCGGAAAGGCATCATGTGATCAGCGTGAGATTTAGTTGCAGAGAAGTCGAAATAGAATAGCATCGAAGTGTGAAAGTTTTCTGCAGAAGGCTTCTCTTATCATACTGACCATATGAATTTTTACCTTGAAACCCTAAAAACCCTAAACCCTAAAACCCTAAGACATTAGAACTTAACCGCATCACGCAAGAACCGAACGATTCTTACGTCAGTCTTATCAGTCGTTTCAATACGGTACTTGTGAAATTCAAAAACGCCGGAGGTTCGAAGTCCAACAACAGTCTATATGCTATTCTACGGCAAGCTGTGAAGGACGATAATCAGACTATCAAGATTACGCTGAAGACACCCACTATGATGACCATGTCGTATGATGAGCCCACCACGTATCTCATCGCGTTGGATCCAGAGGAGAGTAATCCATCAACCATTGTGCACAGTGCACATGCAGTTGTATCGACAGGAAATTGTGCATTCTGCAACAATCGTGGATATACCATCGGGTAATGCTGTAAGCTACAAGTAGTAATCAAATCATGCGTTGCTGCTAACCCACATAATTAGGGTCGTGACCACGACGGTCGTAAAACTTACGATCGACGGATTGACAAATCTGGTCCTCGCCACGACATGAGCGACTACAGATATATGTCCAAGAATAGTGACAAGCATAGCCGATCTGATTCAAATCGTGGCTACCGCACACGTGAGGAACGATACAACAGTAACAACCGCTATCAATACCGCTACGATAGCTACGATGATAATGACTGACAGAACTACCGAGTAGATAGATACAATCGACGCGACTACGACCATGGTAGATATTTACGAGATACTCAACGTTCACAAGCCAGTGACAGAACATACCGATTTCAGAGCAATCGACGACAAGCTCATGAAGGCAGATAGAACAAAGCGATGTCAGCACAAGTATCCGGTGGCCAGCTACCTGCTAACAGACAGATTGCATTCTCCAAAAATTAACCCTACAATCGACAACAAGGAGGTAAACGATCAGTCAGGCAGAGATTCCAGAGGTGGATACTGACTAACTTGCAATAGTTGCGCCACCATACACGTACATCCTTATAATAAGTACCACAAGCATCTCGTTCGCAACATGCTCATTAATGACCGATATGCGTTCGAAGTAGCTGTTTGTACAATCATTTATCCGAAGTATGTGGCTCAGCTAGAAAACTTGGGGGACGTACTCATCGATATGACATTCAAAACTGCACTAGTGCCTGCTCTCATCGCGACACTTATCACTTGAATTCATCAACAACATGATGTAAATATTATGTATGAGCAAGCTTTGAAACCATAACGGTACATAAAAAGCACAGAATATACTTCGTGCACATCGACGACATAGCTATGACCACAGTGAAACCATCGCTGTAGAAAGCCAGCCAGATTTTGTGGCACAACAGACTTGCGCGCCCCAGCTACGTCCCAAAATATTTACTTTACATAAAGGCAACCAGAAGAACGATGCAAAGAAAGACTATTGCTAAGAAGAACAAACAAAGAACGCTACATTTCACTCTAAACTTTTCTACGTAGTTTATTCCTCAGAGACTGCAGCAATTACGGCGCTTCAATTACGTCGCCGTGCTTAAAAATGACCGAACTTTTACGCTCCATCCTGACCTCTAGAGGGCTTCAAAGACACTGCTAACAAACTGTACAGTACATACACAACTATCCAGCTTCGCCCATCGACACCACGCACTATCCGACAGGCTCTGTCCGGTGAGGATGCTGATTTATGGCTAGCTGCTATTCAACGAGCCTCAGAAAATCCTACGAGTTTCTACACCATAGGAACATACTCCATGACTCGTTCGTCATATCTGATAAACCGATGTTTTTGAGAAAAGGAGTTGAATATGTGTTCTGGACATGGCCGTGTTCCAAAGATGGTACGTCAAAAAAAAACAAACGTCAACGTGTATCTATATGTAGACCTCGACAAACCTATATATATGAAATACTCACCGAGTTCCGCCGCCTATAATGGAGCCTAATAACCTTTATTTACAGAAAAACTAGAGGTATATTGTATATTTGTCCTAGATTATATAATAGGTCCTAAACCCACTATATTGTATTTAGTTGTAGTATAATCCCATGCGGGGAGACAACCTGAGAGGACCTGGGTGGTCCTTGTACAAAGGTGGACAATAAACAAAGAGGACCGGGGATGTCCTTATAAAGAAGTGGGGAGCGATGCTACCTCGAAACCCCCCTAGAAGGACTAACCGGGCTGAGCTGAGCCGAGGACATTAGTTTGTCCCGGAATCGGGTGTGTTTAGGACGATGAAAGCTTTTTGTCAGTAGGTCAGCCGGATTATCATCAGTACGAATGTAGGTAAGGGTCAAGATATCGTCGTGGATACATTGCTGTATGTAATACATACGGATTTGTATATGCCTAAGACCTTTAGGTGTGCCTGTTCCAAGAGCCACTTTCATAGCCGACTGATTATCAATATGAAGAACAGACGGACGAGGAAGAGGACCAGCAAGAAAACTGACGATATTGCGGATCCAAGAGATATTCCGAGCAGTCTCAGAAGCAGCAACATATTCGGCTTTGCTAGAGCTTAAAGTGGCAGTCTTCTGCTTGTGAGACTTCCAGTATATCGGAATACCATTGTAGCAGAGGAGGGACCCGGTCTGAGACCGGCGAGATTCCAGACAACCAGCCCAGTCTGAGTCGGTATATGCGACGAGACTGTCACCCGGGAGCGTAGTAGAAGGTCCGGGATAATATGTGAGGGCGTGCTTGTAGCAGAGAGATAATTGAGAATGCGGTTAAGTGTCGAGGCGTGAGCCATAGTGGGATTACCGGCATAAGCGGCAAGCTGGTTAAGGATAGTAGCAATGTCAACACGAGTCATATTGGCAGCAAAGCCAAGAGCTCCCAGGAGCTGACGGTATTTTCCACGGAAAGCAGGGGAGTCGACATGGGCAGCAGGATGAATGCCATTGCCCGGAGTGTGCCGTGGGAAGTCATCCTCAATGTCGAATGTATGAACCATGTGAGTAATATATGCCTGCTGGTCGATAGTGATAGCGCCAGAAGAGTGCTGCGTAATACATAGGCCTATAAGATGACGAGCCAAGCCGAGATTTTTGAGAGAATAGAAGCGCGATAATTCACGGAAGCGCCACTGGACGTCATTAGAGGTTTTCAGGACAGCTGGGGCAAACTTTGTCAACGTAGCGAACAACACGCATATTCCTTCTGCCGGGTTTTGTAAAAAAAATTGAGGCCAACTAGCTTAGAATCAATGTCATGGTTTCACAAGCGGCCGGCTTGTTTAAGCCCATAGAGACCTTTCTTGAGCCTCAGGGTGGTATGGGGGGGATATAGACCCAAATCAACGCTGCCTTTTGGTAGTTTCATATAGGGAACGGTGTCAAGGAACAAATATAGGAAGGCAGTATCGACGTCAAAATGGTGGATGGCAAGGCCTTCAGAAGCAACGAGTGCAATAAAAGTATGAGCAGTAGTGGCAGAAGCGGGCGGGTGCATAGGTCTCGAGATAGGAGTTGCCGTATTCTTGCTTCTCCCCACGAGCAACCATGCGAGCCTTGAAGATCGTCTGGATCCTGTTTTCTTCATACTTTACGGGTAAAGACAAATTTGCTGTGAATCACTTTGGTATCGGACCAAAGGGTAGGGTTGAACTGGTAATCCTATGTAGCAACGCCAGGGGGAAGCGTATAGGTGAGTGTAATATTCTCCTTGCGAACCTGCTTCAGAGTAGTAGCACGGCTTCTGTGAGCATTATTACGATGGTATGCCGTCAAAGGACATGGTGCGTGGTGGAGGACCAGTAGCAGGATAAGGAGTAAGAGAGGTGATCGGGGAGACAGAAGTGTCAGGGAATGCCATAGTGACTGCGGGAGGATCTATGCGGAGTCGGGTGAGATCGACAAAAGTGGTATAATAACCACTCCGAGCACGGGTAATGGTACGGTGAGACCCAGGGTGAGATATGTGGAGGGTCTGGGTCCAGGCAGGGTACTCAAGAACAAAACCATTCTCTTGCAAATTGGGTTGAGCAACGATGGAGTCAGAGAGCCCGGGACAGATGTAGCTGAGGCCTAGATGAGAAAGGATACCACGTTGACGAAGAACAATCTCAGTATTATCCGCGAGTTGCAGAGGAAATTTACCATGTTCTATTTTTGTAAGGAAATGTGTGAGAGTGGTATTGACGTGAATGACAGAGGCGCCAGTATCAAGTAGAAACACTGTGTTTTCGGCTTGATTAAAAGAAATAGGAACAGTGACATGAGCAACAAACTGAGGATAGACGAAGTTATGTTTATTGGATCGCTGAGAGCAGACGTTAGCGACGTGACCAGTCATCTTAGGGTTTTTGGGTTTTTATTAGGGTTTTAGGGTTTTAGGGTTTAGGGTCAAAACCAGATGTGCACGCAACACTCATATGCCCCTTTTGACCGCATCGTCCACATGCTTTGGGGCATGTAGGGGCCTTGTGAGCAGGGTCCCAGCAAACGAAACAAGCATTTTGACTAGCTTTGGGACGACGATGATGGGGAGGAACAGAAAGCGGAGCATTGGGGGTGCGCTGTTTTCCGGAAAGCTGAGCGATGAATTTGCCACGAATATCCTGGGGATCTGGGATAAGACCAAGAGCCGAAAATGGGTATTGCTCAAAGTAGGTGAGTTCGACTTGGCGTTGTTCATGAACCGAGGCCGTGTGACGACGAGTAGCGGCTGCACGAGGTTTCTCTGAGACGTTCCATTCGGGATCAGACAGGTAGACAGGTGCCAGTTTTCCAAGTGAAGACAAATGCCGAGGGGAGTGATGTTGGGCCGGGCAGGAGTACCACGTTGACCAGCGGAAACAAGGAGTCGGCGTGCTTCATCCTGGTCAGATTGAGATAAGCCAGAAATAAAGGCGTCATGGACGAAGGCCATGTAAAAGGTATATCCTTGATCATCAGCATCTTCACGGGATTGCCAACAGCGTTGGGCCCAGGCGCGCATGACTTCATCATCTTGACGCTTAAAGGCATGGAGATAGGCGAGGTTGATAGGGTTGTATATCTTTTTGGACTTGTAGCGGTACTGAGTCACACGAGCACGAAGAAGGACCCAGGGGTCTTGGAGATGAGCCTTAGATTTGAGCGACAGAAGCAGTTCTCGAGAGAGGGAGTTGAACAGAACGGCACGGGCACGAGTGTATGAGTATATGACTTATTGGTCTTGATACGATGAATGTGGGTTGTCATCTCAACTTCAGTGTAGTCGCGGCCAGGAGTACGGCCACGCGATTGATAGCGGCCACATGGAGTCGCTAGGTCATTCTTGAGAATGTCGTCAGGAATTCGAAAGTGAAGGACATCATTGAGATCATATTGATCAAAAGAGGTGGCGGCGGCCATGTAGATATCATCACGCCAGTCATCATAATTGTCGCCGGTGAGAGAGTTCTCCCCAGCGTTTTCGATGATTAAAGATAGATGGGGGGGTCAGCATCCCCAGAGGAGTTCGCCATGGTAATAAAGAGAGAATAAACTACAAATTATAGCCCATAAACTAATGGAGTCTAAATATCTTTATTTACAGAAAAACTAGAGGTATATTGTATATTTGTCCTAGATTATATAAAAGGCCCTAAACCCATTATATTGTATTTAGTTGTAGTATAATTCCATGCGGGGCGACAACTATAGAGGACTGGGTGGTCCTTGCACAAAGGTGGGCAATAAACAAAGAGGACCGGGGATGTCCTTATAAAGTAGTGGGGAGCGATGCTACCCCGAAAGCCTATGACCTGCTAGACGGCTTCATTCTCAGGCTCAATAAGAGATGAGCTCAGGCAATTAGGCTAACTTTGGCATACACTGATTAAAGTCTAAGCTACTCCGATCTGAATCTAACTTCTGCATGTTCGTGGTCAAAAAGGATGACTAGTACTGTGTCGTACTTCTCTATGTTGGCGACCTTATCATCTGCAGTCTCACTAAGACGGACATTGACCTGTTCACATCGCTGATCAAAAGAATTTAGCTGCAATGGGCAAACCTCAATGGCTCATATGCGTATCATATCAAAAGGACGCTTTATACGTCTTGCAAAAGATACACATATCCTCGAAGACTTGGGCTACGTACTATCTTAGCAACTTACATGCATGACGCATCTACACCGGCCACCACCCAGCACTGGAGACTAGACTCTCATGTTCATACAGGCTTATCGGCTCCCTTCAGTAGTCTTTACACGTGTTCATATTCTTTGCACGTGTTGATATCACGTACCAAATCAACACGCTGGCTCGATATATTGGAAATATTCATTACTGGATCACTGGACTGTTACCAAACGAGTACTCTAATATCGTAAAGCGACCCCTCAAATGGGACACACCTACAAATACGCACCGGGCCCCCCATTAATCGACGTAAATTCTGGCGCTGACAACAATTTCTGTCTTGATACACGCCGCTCTACTTACTGGCTACATTCTCCGCTTGCCAAAAGACTGTGGCCGTTAGCATGACAGAGGCTGAAAATTTGCTACCTCTGAAGCCGCGAAGAAGATATAATATATAATAGCTCAACAGATATTATACTCGAGAAGCTTGACTATAAGTTATAGATATGTAATCATTGAACCCTGATTCCATGTTAGCGCGCAATCAGCACAATCGATTTCCAAACAACCCGAAAACAGCAGTTCGCTATCCCGGAATTTATTATTATGAGTATAAACTATGAAGTGATACAAACACTCTGTCAGGTGTCGTATCAGTAGAGTATCAATCTACACCACATACACTTACGTGTGGGTGTACATGCTGTCAATATGTATATCGACCCTCAGAAGAGAGTCAATATATAACTTAATATGCATCTGTAGGATCTACAAAACAGGTTGTTTATCCAGCCGAAAAGCTCCATATCATTAGAAGCAGGGGATTGGCTAAAAGAGTTGTATACTATGTCATCGGAAAACAATAGATGCATGCTGCCAATTTTAAGGACTTGTGGCATGTGAGGGATAAAATGGCTCACCTCTTGCCGCGGTAGACGGATCGAATAGTAAGGGTGCTGCTAGCAGCACAGCTGTTGTTTTCGGTGTGGCTTTACTGGCGGATGGTGGTGAAAGTTATTAAGTGCTGGGCACTAGGTTTAGCAAACATATAGATGCACTGATGAGACTACTATCGACTTGTGACTGCTGGTGCACTGTTAGGAGATTTTGATGTGGGTAACGACATGGCACAAGCTATGTGTTACACTATAAAATTTTGAACATAACGTATTATGTTTATTTCAGAATAAAATTTGTTGGTATAATAATAAATTGAGTAAAAATGCGGGCACGAATATGTAACACATCGTCGGTTGCCATTTCAGGTGGGTCATGGCTTGCTGCCATTCGTCAGGGCTGCGTTGCCATGGGTTTGTGTCAACGTAGATTGATGGTTTGTGTGTATTTATAATACCACGTTGGTGTGGGTCTTGCGACTAAGATATGTCCTTCATTTCTGTGAAATTCATCATAGGACATGGTAGTGAAAGCTGTAGACGGTGTACTGGAGAGCGTTGAATCGGGTGAGAGATCTGCGGCTAGTGAAGGGATCTTCGGGGGTGCAGCAGGTTGGAGTGGGGCGACCGTTTGCTCGTAGTGACAGAATTAATTTCGTCTTAGGTACTATAGAATTAAACAATGTTAGCTGATCGAATGTCTAAATGTCATGTGTTAGCCACTATTTGTGTGGATCATGTGGTAGCTACTAATTGTGTGTGTAATTTTGTGTGTTCCTTCGGTGATGATACATGTAGTGGTGTTGGCGGTGTAAACAAATTGGTATCCGTTGTACTGGAGTAGGCTCTGCGGAGTTGTTGTACAAGTTATCGAAATGATGATCTTCGGATTAGCTTAGATTTGTTTATTGGTACTTTGACTTAGTTTGCTTGTGGTATAGGTTTATTCTACGATGATTTATTGAAGGTCCGTGATCTATCATAAAATGATTAATAAAAATTCGACAGACAACCGTCGGAAATTATCGTAAATGGGTCTCGTAGATTTTACACACGGAGTTTCTCACAATTTAGTGAGACTCTCAAAATTTAGTGAGAAATTGTGAGATGAGTCCCTGCCCTCTCTATATAAAAGGGAGAGACTCAACGAAAATCAAATCAGTTTTAAAAGTTGCTGACGTTGGTCATGCCGACGAGAGGGAGAATGCCACGTTTGGTGGTGACCGTAGTGTATTCATCGGCAAGTTGGAGTGGAGATCTACCTCGTTCAATATTGGTTAACTCGGAACGTCCTTGTGTATTAAGTAGTTCACGGTGGCACTACCATCGATAAGGAGTTTGATGGTGTCCAGGCGGCGTGTAGTGGTAAGTTGGTGGATGCGTGTGGGTATGTACAACGCGTTTATGTGGCTTACGATGTTGTGGCACTGTGTTCATTCGCTTTGTGAGTGAATGGATTTACGGGCGCGGTAGCAAGTCGGTTCACGGTAGGTGGTTTGATGTTGTTCATGGTCTCCCACTCTCCAACATACAAGCAAGGTCCTGGATAGATATAAAGCGTTGAGTATTGACGGAGCGACTGAGGAGGTAGGTAGCCCTTGGTTTGTTCTTGATAGGAATCAGGTAGGCCTGACAAGAACAGGTCCTGGGTGTATAGTCAGACGTGAAGGCCCCTGTTCACGTGCATGACGGATTAAGATCTCATATCTGTAAAGGCCCATTCACGCAGTGGTTTATTATCTAATCTTCGGTGATCGGTATGGTTAATGTTTTTTTCTTTTCTTTAGCTGGGTTGTGCTTGGATCGGCGGATTAATGATTTGAGTAGTAGCCAAGGGCAGCTGCGAAGTATGTCATTATGCAGAGATGTGCACAGGGTAGTCGGTAAAAATCAGAGAATAACCTGATGAGGCTTTTACGGTTTCCGTTTTGTTGATAATGGAAAATTGGGATGTTGCCATGTCTGTAGCAGCAGTAATCTCAAAGTCAATCAATATATATA